CTACCTAAACCTGCCTCTGGCTGTGGCAACACTGCCCAGTGTCTCTCTGGCAATGAGTCTAATGAAGCAGCTGCACTAATTGCCATGGAATTGTCACCCTCTGATGAGAACGGACTGCATGAAACCCCATGGCACGCACTCAGTGAGTCGGCCTAGGGAACAGCCTACAAGGAGGCAAATCCCCAGCACTCCTGCATTCTTCCCTCTTGGCTGTCCACATTATTTACCCTCTCCCTAAAAGACCTCTCAAAGAGCATAAACCAGGGGCAAGGTTACCCTGAGCATGCTCCTTGATGGCCCAGAAATCACCTGGCTATGGACAGCACCAAGAAATCTTTCTAACAGGAGACAACGGGCTCAGGGGATCATTAATGTGCCAGTTTCACTTCTAACATTGTTCACAACGAGAACAGACCATGAGCTCTCCAAGGGCTCCCTCAAGGATCCCTCAGCAGATGCCTTCAGCTGAGAAAACTGCAGAATGTGTTAGCTGTAAACACTTAGTGTGTCTGCAGTGCCAGAAACCTGTTCTGCTCTTCACCCTCCTTTGAACAGCTCTGGAGGCTGCTGAGCGCCTCTCAGACAGTTTCTGTCACAGATGTATGAGCAGGAAAGCCCATGAAGCAAAAAAGGGAGTGGATCTAAGACACCCCATTAACACAGAGCAAAAGAACGGGTGATGATAAACATCTGTGAAGGCATGGCTGTACTCCTGTACTCTGTTCCGAGGGATCTTGACAGGGCTGCAAATACCACCTGAAGATCCGTAGGGGGTTTGTACCACAGACCAAGCTGTCCTGCTGGGGCATCCCACATTCCCTGGAAGAAAGGCAGAAATTCCTCTCCAGGCACTACTGGTAACCAGGCCACCTCTGAAGATAAGGATGTGGACAGCTGAGAAGAGTGGGATTTACCAGCAAGGAATCACCTCTTTTCCCTGCACTGAAGCAGTGGTCTACAGGGGTCTGCAAGGTGGCAAAGATGTAACAGCCAAGGTTTCCTAGACCCAAAATTGAGGGGTGGTCATCTTCTCCCAGAGGCTCTGGGCTTGAAGACTCAGAAAACAATGCCTGTGCTAGGGGCACACACAGCAAAGAGGAAAACACCCCTCCCACCAGAGAAGTCAGAGATGGTGTGGGGTGACAATATCAAGGGAAAGAGGGGGAGGATAAGGCCAGTTCTCCAACATGAGCTGCTCTGACTCAGCCGCAGTCCTGGGAGTGAGCCAGGCTAGACCCTCTACCCTGCCCATCCCGCAGCAAAAACCATGGCACTCACTGGCAGCCCAGATTATGGACAAGCCCCCGTGGGCAGCTGGAAGGCTTGGGATGCCGAGTGTGGGCACACCTACCAAGCTGAGCACCCAGGAGAGCTGTGGAGGGCATTTAGGAGGGGGTAACAAAGAGTAATAAAATGCAGAGGAAAGAGCCTTCAGTCAAGGCTGAAAAGAAAGGGCAGCATCACCCTGGAAGCCCCAACATGGACTCATTCCTGTGGCTGCAGGAGTCACATCAGTCCCTCCCAAGCTCTGGGCATTGGGCACCAGGCTGTGTGTGGGGTCATGCTTGACCCCAGCTGAGCTGCCCTCAGGGATGTCCCATGCACCAATTGCATGGCCAGGGGCTTTTCAAGGCACTTCAAGTGCTATGAAACACTTTTGCCTGGCATGGTTGGTGTCTCCCAAATCTCAGTGTATGACAAGGAGACCACAGGGGTTCAACACTCCTCTCAAGTAATGACTAAACTCCCTGTGAAGTTTCAGCTCACAGCAGACACAGCTGGATTCTACCATTTTTAACATCTGCTGAGTCACTAATGTATTTCAAATTATAAATATATATTTAAAAATATTATATATGTATAATATATAAATATATAAAATATTATAGACATTCTACTCTATATTTTACATATTTTACATATTTCATACTTTCTTTCTGGCAGAAATAATCCACAGCCAGTGTCCTAGAGTAACAAGGCAGTCAGTGCATTTCAAAGTGGCCACAAAAATCACTCTCAGGCAGCAGAAAATCCCACATCTTCCCTGTAGCTGGCCTCTGGTTTGCTGACCTCAGGAAGGAAGCCCTGACTCTAAGCAGCACACGGAATGCAGCAGCAACGCTGTCAGCCCTGACCAGGGCTGCAATTACATCCCAGTACACCTGAATCACCAGGAAGCACGCAGTGAAGCAGACAGATCTGCAGGTCACTGGATTGTTCAGAGCTCCCGACACTTGTGAGCCTTGGGAAGGATCAAGTCCTTTAAAGCCACACAGCTCTTGGGAAACTGTTCAATTAAACAATGAATGGCTTGCATCTTGCCTCTAGTCAGAAATTTGTTTTCACTTCCCAGTCCCTGGAGCTAATTAAAATTTTGATTGCTTCCAATGAAGTTATCAAATTACCCTTAAGCTCCTCATGATGCTTTATGAGCCAACTTAACAGGCAAATAAATACTCCTGATTATTCTCAGATTTTCTGTGTTGTTCTTTCTCAAAGGAGTTGATCTCTGAACAGTTATTCACCTCCCCTGACCTTGAATTCCAGGGTTTCTGGAGGCATCAACACCCAAGACTTCAGATCCAGACGGAACAAGGAGAATAATTTCCCTTAAGCAGTAATTATTAAGTGCACCTGCAGTGACAGACAGTGCAATGCAAGACAGCCCAACAGGAACACCTAAACTGCCCCTTTACTTATGGAGGAAGCCTGATCTTCTACACTTATCTAAGGAGAAAAACAGCTTTTTAGAGCAACAGCAAGGCAGAAGGACAAGAGAAGGTTGCCTGTAAGTATCAAACACACCCACTTAAGAGTGGAGGGGAGAAAGACACAGACCTTTTGGAAGGGTAGATAAGGACCCAGGAAACAAATTGACCTTCTCATCCAACTGGAGTCCATTAAATATATCAAACACTCCAGAGGAACCAAAGACAGAAGATGTAAGAGGTGAGTTCTCAGGAAAAGCTTTTCTAAATATTTCTATACCTGTGAGAAGCTTTTCAAAACAAACACAAACTTTTAAAGCCGTAAGAACTGCATGGACAAAGCTCAAAGACAGGTGATAAAAACACATAGCAATGAATTCAAATAATCTGGTAGCAAAATACAAGAGGGCCTCTGTGGGCAGACAGGCACCTCACAGGTATTGGCTCCTAAAGCCAAAACAAAAAGCAGTTTGTTGAGACAGCAAAATCTCTAGCAGCAACAAGCCAAACCAAATACATTCCTCAGCTCATGTCACACACAAATATTTGCCTTGGAACAGAATCTTCATGGGTGTCTTTGAGCACCTCAGCCAAACCCCTCTCATGTGGAAGAGACATCCACGAGTCTGAATCAGTACCTGGGCTAGGACATAAAGGTAAGAAGGGTAATTCAATGTATCCAAGCTTGCTGATCCTACAAACCAAGCACCAGGAACCTCCTGTGGCACATGACAGCCAGCTCAGCTTGCCCAAGGTCCCCAGCAGCAGCTCCTGGTTTAGGGGGGAAGACACACCGAGGCTGGAGCAGGAATGAGGGGCAGGCTGAGCCAGCTGCCTCAGCCCCACCAACCCCGACTCACCAAGCCTTCCCCACCCAGGGAACAGGCCACCCCCAGCCCCTGCACCAGCCCAGCTGGGAACAAGGTTCCTCATGTGTGATTCAGGAGGCAGAACTGTTTTTCCTGCGAAAGCAAACATCATCTTCAAATGACAACACTTCACAAAATCTGAGGTGTGGACTGATCATGTCCATCAAGCATACACACCTGCAGGGTGAGGCCAGCACAGCTAAAAAAACCCTGGACTTGACAGCAAAAGGATTAAGGGAGGAGAAGGCAATAATGTGCCTTGTGTTTTGACCTGAGCTGCTACTGAAGGATGTTTCTGTGAAGGCAAGAGGGTGGGACCTGAATTTTATCTCTTGACCCTAAGATGGAAATTCAGTAATGGAAAGGTCAAAAATACACCTGGATCAAAGTATGGGAGGTGTGCAACAGCCTTCTGAAAGGTCCAGATCCTCTAGGGCTTTGACACAAAAACTGCAGCAATCTGTGCTCAATGTCCAATGGCATCTCTAACTGCTCCTCCTGGCCATCACCACTCAGAAAGATTGGGGAATCGTGGTGGGAGCTGGAATCACCATTTCCAGACCCAGTTCAACCCCCAGGTGGAAATTCCAACCAGAGAACATCCCAAGGTTACTCCAGCTCTCCATCCTTCTGGGCAAGCTACAGAGAGAGAGGTCCTGGACTTTAGAGGAGAGCTAGGAGGAGCTGGGCTAGGTTAGCATGGCAAAAAAGGGGGGAGATGGAATGGCTGTCTCAACAACCTGAAGGGCAGCTGCAAAGGTGATGAAGACTCATTTCAGTTCTTGCACCAAGGGGTAATCTCATAAATGACAGTTTGTGAGGGAACCCTAAAAAAATCTTCATCATTAAGAGATGCAAACCTGGAGAAGGTATCTAGAAAAATGAGATCTCCTTCCTCAGAAGTCTTTCCAACACAGCTGGACAAAGATGTTCCTGCAAGCAGCAGCTCAACTAGAAATGTCCAGGATACAGTTATGGAAGGAACATCCATTTCTGAAATGCAGAGACCATGAAAAGGCCATTTCAGTCACTGTGGATAACCAGTGAAAAATAAAACCCCGAGCCGGATCAGACAGAAGGGCAGAGACAGAAGGGCAGAGAAAGACAAGTGGAGAAGCACAGTGTGGCTGCAATCAGTGTGCAAACACTGTCTGGGCCATCACCCAGCACTACCAGAGATAAAAATAACCTGCTAAGATCAAGGGTGGTCAGGTATTGGAACAGGCTGTCCAGGGAAGCGAAGTCACCATCCCAGGAACTGTTCAAAAAACATGTGGATGAGGCACTTATGGACATGGTTGGCCTTGGCAGTGTTGGGTTAATGGTTGGAATCGATGATCTAAGAGGATTTTCCAACCTTAATGATTTTGTGATTCTGTATGGTGGGAAACAGTCACACTCTGAAAGGGCTAAAAGGACTTACCTGTAACTACCACGGCTGCTGCACCCATCATCTTAGCAACAATCACATTAACGAGGCCAATTGGTCCTGGGTTCAAAAGGGAGAAAGAGAACATGTACCACTGCCAGGCAGCTCCAACCCCACCTCTGAACATGCCCAGAGTTCAGCGTGCTCCTGGCCAAAGAGGCTTTGGCTGCCCCGAGGTTCCCCTCATCACGCCTGTGGCTCTGCTATGACCCACCCTTAGAGCAGAACCCAGAGACAGCAGAGCCTGAGCCTGCCCATCCCCTCCCAGCAGGCAGGGAACCCAAGGACTGGCTGTGATCACTGTACCAGAGCCAGACACGAAGACTTTGCTTCCCAGAGTGACTCCCGCTCTTTTGCAGGCATGGATTCCCACCGAGAGTGGCTCGATAAGGGCTCCTTCCTCAAAGGTGACATTATCTGGAAGCCTGCAAGAATAGGACACAAGAACAGTCACCAATGTAGTTTAGGAGGGTGATGAGGAAAGCCATGACACTCGAAGACCAAACACGGGTGTAGAACACATCCATCTTCTTTAGTGCTCCTCTTAAGCAGCATCAAGTGCACTTGAACCATTTATCAATGGGGTTCACCCAAGCACCACACCCAGGGACCCACAAACTTTCCCACAGCAACTCTCCAGTACTTGGTGAGTCAACAAGGACTCCTTTGCAACTCATTCCCCCTGGAATAAATCCCCCAGCTGAATATGCACCACCCCAAAGCTCACCCACCCGTGAGCTCTCAGACTCCTCACCAGGGTTGAATCAGCTTTTAGAAAACACCCAAAACTGCCAAAGGTGATGCCAGATCCAGGTGTCCCCAAAACACCCAGGATCACCTTCTCTGATGCACTAAGTGTTTCAACAAGTGGACCCAGCATGCACCCTCCCTGCAGTCAGGGACAATGTGTGCAGTGGTATCAAACACCTTTTGGACAAAAACAGCCCTGTAATGCAGCCAGCAAAAGTGATGGAAAAAAGCAAAGGAAGTGAAACCCTTCTGAACTGCTGAAAGAAATAAATCTCAGCCCCACAACACTGCCCACCAGCAAGGCACCAGTGTGGGCTCTCACACAGCTCTGGGAGCTGTGCCTGCCAGGAGGGTCTTTGTGACAGCAGTGGGAAGCTCAAGGTCAGATCTCAGCCAGGCCAGTGTGAAGCCAAAGAAACGAAAATTATGTCTGTGGGAAGACAGCTGTAAGATAGCTGCATATCCCTTATTTCCAAGAGGTTTAACAGGTCTGACTCCAAGTGTTCTGTTTTCACACTTTGCCATCACGTTTGCTACTGCTGGGTTTGGGCACTGTCCTGTCAATGGGGAGGGAAGCTTCCCAGCATGATCCCACCTCCATCAAGTTACTCAGAGCACCCAGCACAGAGTCTGTCCACCAGCAGGACACACAACTGCCCAAACGTGTGAAAACTCACTGAGCTCAGCCATCATCTGTTTTTAGCAAATCTGTGCTGGCAGAGTGACTGCATGCCAGGGAATCTGCTCTACATGAGCCAGCCACAGCACTGCTGATCTGAAACTGGGAGCACCAGGTCCAGGCTTTGCATCTCAAAGCAATAAAATAATCAAATCAAATCAAATCCAAAGTAATATTTGCTTAAATTGGAGAAAAGAAACAAAAGCCTGGAAGAAGCCAGCTACAATCCAACCACTTCCTCTCAAGCAAAACCTTGTGATGTTGTCAGAAAATGTTATTCTGATACACAGGAAATCGATGCCAGGGAGTCTGGATAGTAAGATGCTAGTTCCATCCACAGCAGCACCTCATCCTGACAGCAGCTGTTTGGTATCTGCTTTGAAAGCTTCCTGCCTGAGGACTCTCAGGAGAAGAGCAGTCGAGTGCCTCCTTCCGACTCACGCGATCCTCAACGCTTTCCATGCAGACACCAAAGATCAATCCCAAGGACGTTCCTGCTCATGGAAGCACCAGCTCCATACACACTGGAGAAGAACAAGCTCCACAGGTAGAGCAAACTCAGGGTGACACTACTTGGGCTATTTTTAACTCCTTGTCAAAGGCACTTAAGTGGGCATAAAGTCGTACAAGTTTTTCAGGTCTTTGGAGAATTTCAGGCCCTGGCACAGGCTTCCCAGAGAAGTGGTGGCTGCCCCATCCCTGGAAGTGTTTAAGGTCAGGCTGAATGGGGCTTGGAGCAACCTGGTTTAGTGGAAGGTGTCCCTGCCCATGGTAGGGGGTGGAATGAGAAGAGTTTTAAGGTCCCTTCCAAACTGAACCCTTTTGGGATTCTATGACTTGCCAGAGTGTTTAAGCACAGATTTGCTTCTAAGCAAATGTGCCAGTGGTGCCACAATAAATAACATATTCACTGGACAAGAAAACAGATGTGCTGTAATGCTGGTAGCCTAGTGGAGACACTCAGAGACACATGAAAAAACAGCTCAGCAGGGCCACTGCCTTCTGTTCCTGCTCTGATTGAAGGATGACTTCGTTTCAGACAACAGAGTGAGATGTCAGCAGTCACCCTGGTGTTTCCTGAAAAGCAGCAGCAAAACTCAGCTCAGAGAACCAAAGACCTTCAGGCACCAGCCTAGGAAGGCAAGGATATGAAAAGAGATAGGAAAGAAACCAAGAGCAGGGAGCAAATAGGAAAAGGAAAATAATTAAAGGGTAAACCAATGGTGACATCCCAGGAGACATGTGAGAAATGTTTATGTCTGGCACCGGAGGGGATAAACTGCCTGCCTGACAAACCCTTTGCATAGTGGCTGCCATCCAAACTTAGGCATGTTATTCATGGATCAGAAAGCAATAAAACCTGTTGGGATCACATAAAGAGTGTTCCAAAGGGCCAAGAGGCGATTGCTGCAGCTAATCTCTCCGCAGAGAGTGTGTATTTCTGTGTGGAGGGAGCATGGACTAACTTGTAGCAGTAGCTTGCACTGTGCTTGTAGTAGCGGCACAGGTTCCCGTCGTCGGGGGGTGTCGCACAGAAGAAGATGGTCGGGGACAGGTTGTAGCGCCCAGTTTTGCAGAACTCATCCATTTCCCTTGGGACACCCGGCTCGATGGCCACACGGTCGCCTGCCAGGATGAAAGCAGATGGAGTGGGTCAGGGACAGGCTGGCACACATGTAGAAGTAGCACCAAAACCCACAGAAACACTGGCACCACACAGGCAGGAGGGACATGAGGAAGGTCTTGCTGCACACACCAGGCTGGTTCCCAACACTCCCTTCACAGCAGCCTCACCACCAAAATTTTCCCAGGTACGTAGGAAGAGATGGTGCTTCAGAGGCACAGGTACAGATGGAAGCTCAGCCCCACACACACCTTCCTCCAGCTGCTTTGCAGCCAACCTCAGCAGATAAAGGGGCAGCCCCCAGGCAATCACACTGTGACCAGATGGTTTGCTGAATTTGTAGAAGAGGAAATACTGAGGATGGAGCAGGTGAGCTCAGCTAGCAACCACTCTGCCAGCTGGAAAGGACTGTTCCTTGGGAATCATAGAATCATTGAAGAATTTGTGTTGGAAGGGACCTTAAAGCTCAGCTTGTTCTACTCCCTGCTATGGGCAGGGACACCTTCCACTAGACCAGGTTGGTCCAAGCTCCGTCCAACCCAGCCTTAAACACTTCCAGGGATGGGGCAGCCACAGCTTGTCTGGGAAGCCTGTACCAGGGCCTCACCTCCCTCACAGGGAATGAAGCTTAAGGTGCAGAATACCCAGGAGCCTGTCAGGATTCATCTAGGAGCAGAGACAGCTTGGTGCTACAGGGTGCTGGAAGGACACATGCTGCTGGACAAAGGGCTATTATTTAATTGCAGTCACAAAGGAGGCTGGACCAGAGAAAACAGTGTGAGCACAGCACAGCAAGTACACAAGGGACACAAAGCCTCACATTTATTTGGTAGAGGAAACAGAGCCAACCTCTGAGCAAAGCTCTCCACCAACAGGCTTCCAGGCAGACCTGGGGATAAGCAGGATGGAAGTAAAGAGCCATCTAGGCCACTGCATCCCCTCTGAGCTGGTCAAGGTGTCTGACAGGACAGAGGCAGGACAAGCACATACTGAATGCTCTCCCAGCCTCACATTATGCACAGCTATGAGGCCTCCCAAGTGACAAAAGGTTTGTTTGTATTTAGTAATGCTCAACAACTTCTCTTCCTTCCACCATGTAAATACATGGTCTGCTACATCTCAGGTGAATGCTGCACCTCACTGTGCCTTGCTCTGGTGCTGGAGCAACCAGAGAATGGGCAACCTGTTCTCCCAGCCCCTCATGTGTTCTCACATCCTTGAGTTGTCTCCCTGGCTCTCAGCTCGAGTTCCTGACTTGGACATTTGTCAGAGATGCTGCTCCACATCTCGTTATCTCCATGTCCTTCTCTGAACCTTTTTCACTTGTTTTACAACCTTTGGGAAAGGCGGAGGCCAGGACTGCATGCAGAGTTCCAGATGTGCACTCACATCCTCCGAGTCTCTGTCCCCTTCCTAACAGTGATTTGCATTTTCACTACTGTGGAGCCAGTGCTGCTGTGCACGGTGTCAGAGCCAAAGGTCTCACCCTTCAGCAGTGATGACCAGCACAGCATTTCAGATATGAAGCTGGAATTATTTGTTCTGCTGTGGGTATCACTTTGCCTGCACTGAATCTCACCTGCATCTCACTGGCACCTCTCGGGTCTCTCTGTAACTCTTGCTGGCTCTCCCCCACGTCCTCTCCACCTTGCCTAAGCTGCTCTCATCAGCAAATTTTGCAAAATTCCCTGTTCAGTCCATTTACTAGGATTTGCATGAGCACAGTGACCTGTGGAGGTCCCACCACAGGGCCTGGAGCAGTTGCTGCAGTGACCTCTGCACTGCAGGAGGCCATTTGCTCCTTCAAGAATAGACACAGAGAAGAAACACAGCAGTTTGCTGGCAAGAGCTACAGATGTGCTTTCTGAAGCTTTATCAAGCTTCCTTAAAAGGCACTTTGTACCAGCATACAAAAAATTACATTTAATGTTTTATTAATTAATTTTCAATAAATCATAAATTAATTTATGTGTTACTTATATAATAATATCATTATAATAATTTTGTCATTATATAATAGGATTATTGTAATGATTGTAATTATTACTTATATTTTATTATTTATTAATTTATTTATAATATTTTTATTTCATGCATTAAAATACACCCAGGCCAGTCCAAGGTATCCTGGGATAAAGCTACCTAAGGAATCTCTTACACTAGTGGCCAAGATGGGTGGTGACTAATTGCAGTGCAGTGACACTTTTTGAAGGAGGTCACACTGTGAGTTCAAGACTTCAGATAAATTCACATGACAGAAAAAAACACAGTTATTGACACATTCTTGGAACTGATGAGGAGGAAAACAAAAAAATGGGTTTGGTTTCAGATACCTGGTTTCAGATGAGTCACCCCAGAGCCCACTTTTACGACAGTCCCGGAAGCTTCGTGTCCCAACACCATGGGATCCTTGACAACAAAATCCCCGATTCGACCGTGCTGCCAGTAGTGAACGTCAGAGCCACAGATCCCAACGGAATGCATGCGCAGGAGGACCTCTGCCAGAAAAGGAGGGAAAGTTCCTTGCAGGAAAACCGACCTTAGGCACTGCAAGAGAAGCATGTGGGCTGTGCCTGGGCCCCAGAGCAAAGGCCAAGCTCTGTATCAACACAACCAAATTTACTGGCATTCAATCAGCTGTGTGTGTACACCTTAGAAGAGTGGCACGTTCATCAGCTGCCTACTAATGAAATACAGAACTATGTAACGATTCACAGAGAAAGAAGGATTAAAATACGGTAAGACAAAAGCCAATGTCCAAAAAAATATGGTCAACAAAATAATTCAATTTAAAAGGGATGTTATTATTGCTGGAGCAAGAATAAAATAGCAAGTCCATTTAATTTTTCCTTCTCCCAGAGCTATGATTTCAGCCCCAGAGAGTTAGTGAATCAAATTTCTATCAGCCCATATGCCCATCCTATTAATGTTTAGTCCTGCATAACATCATCTGACATGTCCCAAGAGCCATTTACTGTGACATACACAAACTGATGGAACAGGAAACAAAAAAACCAAACAAACAAAAAAAGCCAGATAAAGGGGTTTATCTGTGACTGCTCCAGCTCTTTTTTTCAGCTGGAAAAGCAGCACTATCTGTTTCAGCAACGCAATCGATTTTTGATAACTCTGTACTTCCTTAGAAATATTTTATATTATGCAGGAGCAACAAAAGAGAATGAGAAAATAAAGAGAGAAGTAAAGAAAGCAGACAGAAGCAGACATCTGTAGACCTACCATTAGGACCTGGTTCTGGGATTGGACGGTTTTCCTATGGACAAAAGATAAAAAATGCATTTAGCTGCTTGTTCATAACCCAGGGAATATCTGTAGAAACTTAGCTCTGGTTAGCTCGGGTAAATCCATAAGCAGACAAGGCTTTTGGTTCTGTCTGCTCCATAAGACACAGGGAGTCTGCTCCTAAGCTCCCCTCATTTTCTATGCTCAGTGGAATAACACAGGTAGCTGTAGGAGTAAACACACTGCCAGCTTGTAAATCTGCTCTCCAAATTATTTTGTAAGAAATTCCCTTTCCCTGCCCAGACAAGAGACAAATACTAAATTTCCTTGCACTGGAGCAGCCCCAAGTTTCAGCTGAATCCTTCATCCATCCCACTGTCTGACAAAAAAAAAAAAAAAATCACCTTCTGTAGCCAGGAAGATTCTGGACCACCTGTTCTATTAAACCTTAATATTGCAGTGTTTATATTATTATTTTAAATAATACAAATAGATAATCATAGAATAACAGAATAACAGAATGGTTTGAGATGGAAAGGACCCTAAAGCTCATCTCATTCTACACCCTGCCACAGGCAAGGATACCTTCCACTAGACCAAATTGCTCCAAGCCACATCCTTGAGCACTTCCCAGGATGGGGCTGCCACAACTTCTCTGGAAATGTATGTGGGGAAAAAAAACCCAAAACTACTTTTTTTTTTCCCTGGCAATAACAACTGTGCCCAGAAAACCTAGACATCTTGGTGGGAAGTGAATTCTCCAGCCTGATTTGGAGAAAATAGGAGTGATCAAAGTGGAGAACTCCAAAGACAGAAATTCTGCTCGTTTTCTATTGTTCACTGAGAGGTTCAGAAATGGTGACCAGTAAAATAAACATAGCAAATATTTTCATGTTGCATAAATTTCTATATCTGTGAAAGGAGACATGGAAAGAGAGGCCACGGTAAAAGTATAAATCCTATAAATCCTCCATGGGCAGCAAAGAAGAGCCTGTGCAACTACCTAAGGACAAGAGGAGAGTCAACAAAAACAAAGCAAACACACTTCCACACAACACAGGGATCACAGCAACTCTGCCCACGGGAAACTTGTCCAGAAATTAAGAAAGGTGTGGGAATTACAGGAAGATGGCATCACCCAGCTCTGGGTATCAATAACAGGTAACAAGCTCGGAGTTCACTCCTGAGACCACTTCTATGACCAGTGGGTTAATACAGTGAGCACCATCCACACCGTGGAAAGAACTGTTGGGGAGGCCCAGGAGGATCACACAAGATGCTGCCAGTGAGGCAGGAGGGCACTGGTGACCAGCTCTAAGGTCTCCAGCACTACAGATATTCAAGGAAAACTCACACATCTGGGTGTGAGGCAGTTTAGAGACCAGCAACACAGATGTGATGGAGCCAGTGTCCACCTTCACAAGCCTCAGACACCTTTCTTCAATCACAGGGGATTGGAAACATGTTCTTGAACTAGAGGGATTGCCTCAGCCCTCAACCCAGATTGATTTCTTTTGGTAGTCAGGCTGCATTGTGACTGTAGGGAAAGCACAATTGTGTCAAAGGTGCCTGGGAGCCACCTCCATGGCACAGCTCAGGCTCAGGCACATGTCGCTTTAGCTGGGCTGGAATGGTAAAAACCAGCCTCTTCCCTGGTAGTCACCCCCTAAACAAGGCATGAATCCAAAGTCTGTGTGCTCCCAAGAGCCCTCCTGCCAGGACTCTGTGTACAGAAAGCTGCCTGCCAATGTCTGTCCATGGAAACCTTCCTTCCCTCCTTTGGCAGCTACCAAGCTGGAGAACACGGCTCTCCAGCAGCACCATAGTGATTCAGCACCCAGAAACAGCCAAGCATTAGCAGCTGGAGAAGCAGAATGAGCCTAAAGAACCAAAAAAGTACAAAATAAAATCTCCCCCCCTGTCCGGGAGGGTCTTCCAGCACCTGCTCCTCCTGAACCTTCTGTCCTGCTGCTCACCTGGGCTCTGACAGCCCAAAGAAGCAACAAGCACCCTCCAACGCTGCTCCCTGGGAGGGCCTAGCTCCGCTGGGAGAATGGCTATTAGGGGGAAGTTTTTGGGGAGTTCTGGGTTTCAGGGATAAAACGTTCTCCATCCACAGTTGGTAACTACCTCAAGATTATCCCCTCTTTCATTCTGCAGCTGAAACCTTTCCGAGATTGGAGAAACAGAAAATAAACACGATAGGACAGACAAATTTGCCAGAAACAGCTAAAAAGAGACCTGATACTGTTGCATTCTTCTGCTTACTCGAATGAGTGTATCTATGAATTTATTTCTTTGCAAAAATGTTGCACCTCCCAGGCACACGAGGGTTGGTGCAGTTATAGTTTTTTTTTGCTTTTTCCCGCATGTCCGGGTCATTCCCGGTAACGCTGTGAAGAGCCCGGACCGGCCTGAGGGGATGGGATGGGAGGGCCCAGCCGTGGGACACCCCCGAATTTGGGTCCCCGCACCCCGCAGGTCACCCCCTTGACAAGCAGCGGGGGCCGGTTCGCGCTGCCCCGGAACCGGGGGGAACCGGGAGGAACCGGGAGGAACCGGGGCTGCCGGACCGCGAGTGCCCCGGGCTCAGC